GGGGTCGCGGGGCCGCGCTGGAACCGGGCGCGCACGCGCGTGCGCGGGGCTGTCACCGTCTTCGCTCCGCGTGCCCGCGGGAAGCGCCCCCCTCCCAGAAGCGGCGAGCCTATACCGGCCCCGCCCTCAGGCCCACCAGAACGCTATACACAGTGTAACCAAACCCAATAGCTAGTGCTCAGGCCTTGTAATTGGCTTAAAACTCAGGAGGAGGTGGGACTTTTACTCAATTCCGCCCCCTCCAGGGCAACACCACCAATTGGAAGTTCCGCTCTAGCTATACTGGCGCGGGCCTGTGCTCGGCGCTGAGTAGCTATAGCGCCAGTCACTCCGAATGCTTTTGTTCTGAAAAGGTACGCCTACTCTAGCAAGATTGGTTGAGGCGTTGGCGTCCTCCTCGCTTTTCCCGGGACAATTCGAGGAGGCGGCGCTGGAGTCTGGTCCTTCGGAACAACGCCCCACGGGCTTGCCTTTCGGAACCCAGGACGGATTTTCCGATTTGGCACTAAATTACAGGCACTGATCCAGGCCATTTCTCAAACTTTTAAACCACCACCGGTGCCTCACACCTGTAACCCTAGCTACTCAGCATGGTGAGAGCGGAGGATCGCGGTTCGAAGCCAGCCTGGGAAACTCTTATCTCCAAGGAACCACTAAAAAAAAATCTGATGTGGCCGGGCGCCGGTGGCTCACGCCTGTCATCCTAGCTACTCAGGAGACTGAGATCTGAGGATCGCGGTTCAAAGCCAGCCGGGACAGGAAAGTCTGCGAGACTCTTAAACCACAGAAAACCGGAAGTGGCGCTGTAGCTCAAGTGGTAGAGCGCTCGCCTTGAGCTGAAGAGCTGAGGGACAGTGCCCAGGCCCAGAGTGCAAGCCTCAGGACAGGCACAAAAGAAAACAACTTTCAGAACACTTGTAAAGAACTTTTACATTACCATTACTTTCCGCCCCAATCTTTGCACCTCACCAAGGAAATTACTATTCTCAAAAGTAGATGATTGTATGTGAGGCGGGTTTAGTGCATATAAAGCCACATAGTTGAATCCTTTGAACTGGATCTATTTGTAGATAAGAAAAGATGGGAAATAAAGCATTTTCACTTCGTATGTGACTTAGTGTTAGACACCATATATATCTTATTTTTTTGAACAATAAGGTGGGGAGAGGATAGTTAAACTTGGCCTCTTGGGCTTGTTGGCTTGCCTAGAACTGTACCACTTGAACCATATCTGCACCCTTGCTTATTTTCCTGGTTAGTTTGGAGATGGAACCTTACAGACTTTTCTGCTTGGGCTGGCCTTGAACCTTGATTCTCTAGATCTCACTTTTTTTTGTTTTGTTTTGTTTTGTTTGTCAGTCATGGGGGTTGAACTCAGCCTGGGGGCTGTCCCTTAGCTCTTCAGCATGGTAACACTCTACCACTTGAGCCACAGCACCACTTCCATCTTTTTCTGTGTATGTGGTACTGAGGAATCAAACCTAGGACTTCATGCATGCTAGGCAAGCACTCTACCACTAAGCCACATCCCCAGCCCAGATCTCACCTGAATAGCAAGGATTACAGATGGGAGCCACAGATGCCTAACTGTATCTAATACTTACTTTTTAGTGTCATCAAAGTGATAAAATATATAAGAGACATCTTTCTGCATTTACACTTTTTTTTTAACTTTTGAGACTAGTATCTGTGTTGCCCAGACTAGCACGGAACTCCTGGAATCAAGCCACCCTCCTACCTCAGCCTCCCAAATCACTGGGCTTTAGCCACAAGCTACCAGTCTTAAGTGTGTGTGTGAGTGTGTGTGTTGGCACTGGAGCTTGAATTCAAAGCCTGGGCCCTGTCCTTTGTTTTTTTGTTCAAGGCTAGAGCTCTACCCACTTCAGGTTTTCTGGTAGTTAACTGGAGATAAGAATCTCACAGACTTTCCTGCCTGGGCTGGCTTTGAACTAACAGATATCAGCCTCCTGAGTAGCTAGGATTACAGGCATGAGCCACTAGCACACGGTTTAGGTTCTATTTTTAATAGCTTTTAATGGAGAAATAGAGTCAGTGGCATGTGTTCTGACTGAACAATAAACACTGTGTTAGGTATGGTAGAAGTACCCCTGGTTTACAGATGAAGAAACTGAGGCTCTGCTTGATAGAAACTCTTGCTGGCTACAGCCAGAAGCAAAGCTCAAATTTCACCCTTCCCAGCTCCCATCCAGAGCTATTGGTGTTACCCACTGCACTGCCATGGCTCAATCCTTCAAATTCTCCTTGCAGCCTCAAGAAGCATGAACTATGGTTATGCATATTCAGTATACACTTGCTGTAACTGAACTAATGACAATTTCTTGCAGTTCTGAGAAGCACAAATCAGGACCAAAAACTTATTTTCTGGTATACCACCAGGGAGGCTGCATTGGGGGAACTTTATGCCCTGAATATTGCTAGTAAATTCCACCACCAAACGGGTAGTTCTGGGCACTTTCAGGCTTGGCATGGGAGGGTCTTCATTTCCATGGCTTCAAATCTTCCCTGTAGGTGGGAGAATCAGAGTGGATTCTCCCCTGGGCTCCCTGTAGGGACAGCAAATCAGGCCTTTAACCCAGGGCCAATGATGCTGTCAGAAAATAAGTGAGTTCTGCAACCCACTGAGAAGCAGCAAAAGGAAACTGATCAGACAGCAGGGACTAAAATATGACATTGACAAACAGTAATAGCTCATTTTTATAGAAGACTTACCAGGTTCTGGGCGACTGGTTAATTGGCAAAATATACCCAATTTAAAGTGTCTGGGAAGACATACAGGTAAGATATGTACTTCTGGGACTCAGAAGGTCAGAAATAAAAATAGATAAAATGGCCAGGCACTGGTGGCTCACACCTGTGATCCTAACTAATTTGGAGGCTAGATCTGAGGATCTTGGTTTGAAGCCAACCTGTGAAGAAAAGTCTATGAGACTCTTATCTTCAATTAACTACCAAAAAGCCTGAAGTGGAGGTGTGGCTCAAGTGGTAGAGCACCAGCCTTCAGTGAAAAGGTCAAGGAAGAGCACAATGCCCATTACTGGCCCCCATAAAAAGGGCTGAAGGTGTAAGCTCAGTAGTAGAATGCTTATTCCAATATGTATTGATCTCTGGGCTCCATCATCAGCATGGAAGAAAAGAAAGGGAGGGAGGGAGAGAGGGAGAGAGGCAGGGAAGGGAAGGAAGAAAACAAGCAAGCAAACAAGCTGGGTGCTGATGGCTCAGTCCTGTAAC